CTAGTCTATAGAGTGATGTGTATTATATAACAATAAGAATACCTTGGTATATTTTGATTCTGGTGAGCTTTCATCATCGATGCTGCACCACATTCCTATAGAAAAAGTCATTTGATCTTAATACTCCAGTTTCTACATGTAGATCTTATTTCAAACTTGTAAGCATGTAATATATTCTTTTATTCAGCAGAGAATGTAGTATTGTAATGCAAACACTCTGTCTACGAAGAAGACAATAAAAAACTATGCTTCATTGAATCTACAGCTTGCACAAAAGATCATTCGAAACTAGAGTATTGAGATAATGTAATTAATGGTGATCAAATGTCTTGATTATTTTGATAATATTCATAAGAGCTATGCATTAATGGGTGATTTGCACTTACAGGTCATGTGACCATCCCAAAAACAAGAATAATATGAAAACAAATTCCAGAAATGAAAAAAAAAAAACACCTCACTCTGCTGACTAAGCATTTCCACTGACCAAAAATAATAATTGTTTAGGGACAAAGCAGTACAGCCTTAGCCTATTCCATCCTCTCAATGATAAACCCCAACAAGTAGCAAGGTAGAAATAAGAGAGGTACAAGAGACTTGTAAACCTACCAAACTGGACCAAACAGAATACATGTACCAGTATGCAACCTTACATGTACTTGACTAAAACAAACTTCCCTGATAACTACCTAGCTGAACTGTAATGCTCATGACAATGAAAATAAGCATTCTTACCTTTAAAAACACTACCATTTCCAGGAATATGTCTAACAAAGTTACCAAACAACCACAGATTAACTGCACTTTTTGYCATGTTAGTCCTTCTAATTCTGTTYTTTGTCCAGTGATGAATAAATACCGACAACAGTTTAACAGGTACAAGGCCATCATCATTACTGGATAGCATCTCATCCTTAAAAAATACCAATAGTAGTGAGTGAATGAAGTTAGGAAAGACAAGATTCATGTTAATGTAAGTGGAAGGGAAGATGTCTGAAATAGGCATGCTGGAAGAAAAATATACAGGTAGGAAGAGAATTTAAAGAATTTCAGGCAAGAAAAATTGACTAGGAGGAATAGGAGGAAAGAACAGAAGAAATCTAGAGTAGGAGGGAATTACGAATGGCCAGAAGGTAAAGATCAGAAAAGGAAGTTACCACAGACATCCATGTAAATTATCTACATTTTTATTATAAATTCAACACCACATTTTACTCAAGTCGACCATGTTACGTGACAGTGCCTGCAGCAGACGGGTGCTATCAGTGCATAGAGCCTGCCTCTTCTCAAATTTTTATCGTTGAGAAATAAGAATTGAATAACTGGCATTTTTGGCATTTTGCTGTGATCGTTGCCCTTGGAAACTGGATAATCCTCAAAACTTCATAGTCGCCCTCAAACTGCGCTCTCGTGAAACTATTGCCTTTCAGAACATTAAGTTTCTCCAGGCAACTATCACAGCATAATGCCATTCAACTACTCTCTATTATTTGAATAATAATTCATTACAGTTGAGCAAATAATCCAAGATCTCACCTCTACACTAACACTATGTGATCCATCTTGTAATTCTACACCATGAAGACTTGATWCAAGTAATTCCAAAATAGTTTCAACTGTATCCCARTCCTTAGCAACTGTTGTCATGGTGATCAACTTTCCAGACACACAGTTTAAAATRAGTGAAAAYAAAYCAYCYGCGTGCTTTTCACAGTATTTGGATAGTTCTTTGATCTGAAAAAARTAGAMTTACYRTCATTGAATTGAATTTTGAAGGTCACTAGTAGAAACTCAAAGTGTAACACAAAAGATAGTCATAGACCTAAAGTAATAGGCATATTGCAGCCATGTTTGTTACCATCTAATTCAAATATTAATCCAAAAACCCTTTTGTCTCTTTTGTATCATTGTACTTGCTAGATAACTACAGTATCTACTGTGTAAAAGTGTTTTTAGGTGTACATGTACCTTGTTTAGCATTTCATTGTTTGGCAGCCTTGCYAGGTTGTCTGCTAACCAACCCACCAAAACTCTATTACCACAGGCCAAATCATCTGAGCTGTTGGATGTTTCACATGCTTTCCAATCTAGAAACAAGAAAACTTTACTAAAGAAATGATGCCTCCAGGACTTAGGATCATGCGACATTTGATGTCAAATTGCATCTGTGACACACATTTCTGAAGCAATCTACACAACACTTGAACAATGAGTCCCAAAGAGTAGCAGAGCATAAAGCAGACTACAGAGCAGAGACCCAGGGGGTACTCCCCTATAATATTCGCTATACGGGGACTTGCCGCCAACCAGGGTATCATTTTCAGCAATTTTACTCTGGAACTGGATATCGTTTTCAGCGATTTTACTCTGGAACAGGGTATAGTTTTCAGTGATTTCACTCTGGAATAGGGTCAGGGTTTTGACGTCCCAGAGGCACACCCCCACCCAAGTTTCGGGGGAGTACCCTCCCACCCCCGGGAGCAGAGAAGAGTACAGAACAGCAGTGCACAGAGCAGAGCACAGTACAGCGCAGAGCACAGAGCAGCGCACAGTACAGCAATTAGATAGCAATGTACATCAGATTATACTGTATCAACAAAACAAACCTTTATATTTGACAAATGTCTTCATATCCTTTAGAAGGTAATGTTTTTGTGCCAATGATGACTGTGACATCAGTCTTGACAAGGCAATGGCTTGCTTGTGTGTTTGYCCATTCAGAAATAGTAATGCTATCAGACCACAAACAGCCCTWCCCTGTACTGCTGGACTTAGGTTGACTACAGCAGAGCTTGTCAGCATCTTAAGAGCTTTTTCACATTGACTATTCCTATGAATGATATGGTTAGTATATTAATACAACAACACTTTAAATAGACCAGTAAAAAATTGCATGGAATAATAGGAAGGAACATTTATAAAAAGAAGAAAAAAGGAAAAGGTATTGTGTGCTTATCATACTACATTGCAGCATGGACGGGTGCTGTATTGCAAAAGACRCAGCTCAACCCGCTCCCATGTTGAAGTGCTATATTACAGACACATTTGACATTCATGTACACTGCTATAATTCAAATTCAATAATTCAAATTCCTTGACTAATTAATTTGAGTCACCAAACAACAACTGACTGCCTAATAAATTCAGCTCCACGGCTCGTGTTTGACTATTGAATACAGTACTGTACTAAAGATCTAATGCCCTAACAGCTCCTTCCATGAATGAGATGAAAAGATGACATAAAACATGAAAAAGGTATTGGTGAAATGAACAGTGAGTAYTGCTGCAATTTAAACATTTTTTTTGTTGATGTCAGATACTAACTCTGTGTTTTCCATATCATGAGGTCAGTGGACCATCAAACACGGGGAACACAAATATCATCATTCACAAACAAATTTAAAATGGTTTGAAATTTGCATATATAACAAGAAAGATAACTTACCAATTGTTGAGGTCCAATAAAGACAACAACTTTTCGACTAATGCTTCACCTGGTATATACTTCATGAGTACCTTGAAATTGAGATTAGATTACATTACGATAGAACCACTTTACCAGCTGGTCACTTTGCTGTATATTTTCTTTCGCCTTCTAATACATACATGTACATGTTCGCTGGTTGTCGCAATTTAACGCTTCTCATACAATGTGCATAACTTTGTATAAACACTGATTCAGTACTGATACTGCAGCGTGCACAGTATGTAACCGAGATGGTGTTAAATAGAATCTTACTTAGGTCTAACTTAAAAGATATCAACAACAATTTTCAAAATGGCAAAGAAAAAGCTGAAAGCTTACGAAACAGACCTTCTTTATAAGGATTAACAGACCTTCTTTATAAGGATAAACATAACGACAAAGGCAGGTTAAGTAAAAATCACGGCAGTATGTTCTTATAATACCTTCATGTTCGACTGTGCATACAAATTATTATTTCAAACTGTTATGTAATTCCAAATTCATTTATAGTACAGTAAGAATGTCAATAAAACTATTTTGCTCACTTCTCATTTTCTKTKCGAAATGTCTTCKTAAAATTGTGTGAAGGGTCAGAAACATGKGCGAAACAACKTGTCTGAATGTTCTTTTGAACGAAATGACCTGTATTCAAATAAGCTCTGGGATTTTTGCTATACAGCTTTCAACATGGTTAAAAGTGGCATTTTAAGCAAAGGATGCTGGTCAGTAGAAAAGATGGCTCAAACACTAGATGAGGTTATTTAATACCTGTTCCATATCAAGAACACTGTCCACCACTATAGCATCTTCATCACTAATACGAGCCAATAAGGCTTCCTTTATAAAATCGCTGTCATCTTGGTTAACCTGCATAAAGTTGCAACAATACATCAAAAACAGATTCACATGTTAGAGCAATGGATTAAATCGCCATGGAGACACTGAGAATGCTACTTAGACCATGATAGAGTCAAGGGGCTGAATGGGGTTTAAATACTGCCAACCACACAAGAAATAGTGCAAAAACTGAATACTACAAAATATAAAATTACCATCGGATAACAATATGGCTGTTGACTGACAACATTTTTGAAGAACTGAGATATTTGAGTGGTAAATAGATCCAAAAGAGCAGTCAGCATGGTAATTAATAGATTGGACGGCAGTGTCTTATTGGTGAAACAAATGACAAGCACTGCATCATTGAATGTTACATTCACTCCACTCTTTAAATTTACAGAATACCAAGAAGTTCTAGATAAAGATACATGGATATCACTCATCGTGTCTTATTCGAATACCACAATACCCATGTTATAATAAGACAATAGTCTCCTTCACGGTTCTCTGTGCTATCTTGAAAGATAGCCGTGCCTTTGCATCAAAGCGAGACAACCATTGAGCGTGCAATGATAGATACCTGTGAAAAATTGTCTGTCGGTGTGAAAGAAAGATTCTATCATTACACACTCAATGGTCGTCTCGCTTCAATGCAAAGGTATGGCTACCTTTCAAGACGGCGCAGGGAACTGTGAAGTAGACTATTCAGGAAATTAAGATCCCTTTATTTGTAATTCATATYCTGAATATGTTTGTATTACCTGTTCAGTTTCAATCAAGTTATGAAGATGGTTGACAGCCATTTGCCTAACGTCACCCTTGGGATGATGAAGGCTTAACATTAATGTAGCACTAGAGTCTGGCACAACCTACACAACAACAACACATAGGTAGGACAAATGACTGGATGACTTTATATTAAGACCAGGCAAATACTGTAAGAGCAGATAAGATGTGGAGATTATTACCTCTGACATATCAATAACATTCATTCAGGAAGTTTTACAGTGTGTATATGGTGTGTCAGATATCAACTCTGTGCTTTCCATCTCATGAGGTCAAGGACCCTCAAACACGGGGAACACAAATATCATCATCCACAAAATATACACACAAAAAAACATGCAACTTCAATCTTTCTTTTGAATTTACTGTGTTCTTTAAATTAAAATCCTACCTTTGATTTAGAGCTTGATAAAGCCAAAGAAACAAACTCTAATATCCACTGTGAATATTGGATAACCAACTCCTCATCATCCAAAGAACACTTAATGTACTCTAGACTTCCTTCAAGACCACTTTCCAATTCTTTTGGATACCTTGTAATAAGCAGACAATAGCAAAATAACAAGTGTTAGACAAGTCTTGTAACTGAGCAGGTTTTCAATAAAACGAAACAGTTTTACAGACAATACAAGCTGATTTTGTGTGTCAAGACCAAATGAAATCAAGGCGAAATAAGCAAAATAACTATTAACAACTCTGAGATTTCTTGCGAATCCAAAAATGTCAATACTTTTTGCAGTCAAAAGCTGGAATATTCAAAACGATATGAGAATAATCTGCTCCATTAAGACACATTTCTTCYTCATTCAATATTTCTATCATGTGGTTGCTTCAATGCAAGATTCATTGACAGTGCTACGGTATACAGTGCTGTAAGACATGCCTGTGTCATGATGTGTGAAGATGTAGGATCTACTAGAACAACTGAAGTTGATCTGATCTATACACACTAAAAGAGTAGTTTAACACAACAACTACAGTAGAGAAGTAGAAAAAATATCAGCATTTTTGTAACATTAAAAATAAATTGTTTGTTTATATTGTACAACACTTTATAAGACACACATCACTCATGAGCATACTGCTCAAATATACTAAATACATGACATAAAATATTTTTCTTTTTTGAAAACCAATTATTGTATATATATATAAATATTATCTTGGACAGAATGAGTTGACAGTTTTTTTGTTTTTTTAATGAAAAATTGCCAGAGTGCTAGAAATCTGCTTTGGGGGAGGGGGTGAAATGAGAATTATGTTGAACTTTGCTGATTAGTGAATTATTGTCAAAGTTTTTGTCCAGGATTGTAAAACTAAGTGTATGGGAGTTGACTGACAGCTAAATACAATAACTAAATAGCTGCTAATAATCCCCCACTTATTCTCGCACACTTTGCTGATCAAGTAGTCATTAAAACTACATGATAAATAACCAAAGAGTGCACTATACCCATCTTGATTGGCATCTATTAACAACTTTAGAACTTCTTACCTTTTTTCTAGGTATTGAGCTACAGGYTTTAACRTTTTATTCATTTTTTTGATACTTTGTTGATCTTCTCCCAAGATGGCTCTTGTCTTGCAGTATTCATCAATCAATGACCTGAAAAAACAATRGACCAGTCAATAGACTCCTTTAAACATGACATTYTTRCAAGCAAACTGAGGTCAGATGTTTTTACACTGTACATGTACATGTAAATTATAACACAAAATGAGAGTAAATACAGACAGCTATATGGCATTGAACATACCAATCACTGTTGTAGGATTGTGTTAAATGTCGACTGAGATCAAGACGCTAATTGTATAAATGTTGATGACAAAACTGAAGTACAGTTGTATGTTGAGACTAAAGTATGACTGTTAAGAATTGACAGTGAATTGATCRTTCAAAATTATTTATGAGACTAAAAACTAAATAAAACTGAAACATTTTCATCTCATTTGGCAAAAATTGATAGAAGAGTCTAATAATCGGTTGTGCAATTGCCGTTCGACAATTGACATTCGCCATTTTGTCCGACAAGCTTCTTTGAAATATCTATATGTATTAAAACTGCAGTAATTATAAATGAAGATACCCTATACAAGTACCTTGCAATGAGTTCAACCAGCCATTGCTCCATTTCAAGCTCCTTTGCCATATCATACAAGACACCAACATGATTATCCTGTCTGCAGGAAGAGTCCTCACTAGGCAAACATTGCCCGACGACAGTAGTAACCAACTGTGGCATGAATACACGTAACAACGCAGTAACATCACATACTGTTGCTAACTTACAAACGTGTTCACTAATACAATCAACTTGCATCAAGTACCTGAATGACCTGAAAACAGATTATCAAGAGATTTTGCAGTTAAGTATTATATAAAATATGAGCAGGAGACCTTTATGGGAATATAAAACTGTAAGCTGCAGGATTGTTTAAAGCTCCATTAGTGCTAATCCTGGGTTAGCACTCTTAAAAATCATATGGAGTTAGCCCTGGCAGAAGTACAAGTTTAAACAATGCTTATCAAATTCATTAATAATTCATAAGGTAAACACAATGGAAAATCATTGCCGTGACTGCATCTTTATATGAGCAAGAGATTTGTCTCGATTTGCATACGACTTAACTTCGATTTTCTCTTACAAATGATATTTTATCCTAAAGTTTTTTTTTCGAAATATATGCTTTACCTTATGTTGGAATTTGATAAGTAATACAAAATATTCGCTTCAGACCTTTATGGGCTATAAAACTGCTCTCTTGCAGCTCGCAGTTTTAAATGCCCATAAAGGTCTACCGCTTATACAAGTATTCTTATATTACATATCAAATTGTATTTCACATGCACTCTAGCAATGCACAACACACCAGCATCAGATACTATCTAGTGCTTAAGGGTCATAAGACAACATGGCCTTCGTAAGCAAACCCAAAAGGGCTTCATCATTTCCTGGTGGATGAACATTTATTCAATAATATATAACCAGTGAATAACTCTTACTTTTTTGGTAGTTTTGCTTTGTTTTGTGTACCACAAATAATAGTAATACACATCAATCCCTCATTAATGACATCTACACTCAGGTTCTGTTCACAGAGTAAAGGTAATTGTAAGCACACTGCATATTATGCACCTTCTATNTTAACTAAAACGTTTTAACATAATAAGAATTCATGTAATCATATAGAAATCGAAGCAATTGGAATGAGTTTAAATTAGAAATATCGCAAAGGCCTTGTTCGTTCGAGCTTATATGATTCTTGTTCTTGTTGTTGTTCTTTGTAGCTATTTTTATTCGAGGACAATTGTGTTGACAGACACCTTTTTAAGTTGTCAATAAAGAACTGTTTACTAGGTATCAACGTCGTTTCCTAGCGCAGCGAAAGCCTGCGTTTCATTTGAAGAGTTTATGTTAAAACTTCTTCGTCCTTCTTTCTGAAACAGTTATGTAAAAAGATACTCCGACGAAGGATTAACGTCCGAAACGTCAGTAAGTTATTTCACATACTTTTTTAAGGTGTTTAATTATCTTTTTACATAACTGTTTCTTTAGAAACACCGACACAGCTCACACTAGTTTACCGCTAGTTCCCACCAAAACTTCTTTCTGTTTAAACTGTTAATTTGTTGATAAAGTGTCAGGAGTTTATGAGTTGTTAATCAGTTAACGAGGGAGAATGAGCACCAGTTCACAATTCAACATAAGTTGAGGCAGAAGAAGTGGAATTAGTGTAAACTGAGAAAAATAATAAAATAAAACAAATAACGAGAAAATGTTTCCATGTAGCAGTTTTTTCGTCGTAGTTATCGCACTAGCAACTAATTTATACTGAGTCATCGGGAACTACAATGACAAAGAGTGTGCTAGCTCAAAAGAGAAAATGAAAATATGAATATACATGCACAAAATGTGATTGATGCAGCTTTTCTTGCTACCTACATGCATGCCATGGTGTGAATTGGCCRGCCCCACCATTAGGAGCAGACGTGTCAACTGCACTACATGGGTGGGGTCGGGTTTGATTTGTTTTATAAGGGTCAAATTAGGAATGATGTTAAACTATTTAGCTGCTGAAATGTTGGTGTGTTTTTTTCTTTTTTTCCTTTCACTCCATTTATATTATAACTACAAACTCACTGGGAATCTTTTTTGTAAATTTTAGGGTACTATCGTCGTGTACCGTGCACCAAGTACATCATAGGTTTCCCAACACACGGNGGTAGCTTTGCTTTGTTTTGTGTACCACAAATAATAGTAATACACATCAATCCCTCATTAATGACATCTACACTCAGGTTCTGTTCACAGAGTAAAGGTAATTGTAAGCACACTGCATATTATGCACCTTCTATCAATGTTTTGCCCCARTGGGAGAGCATGGGATATACCCAGGGGCTACTGAGACTTTTAAACACACTTTGAACAACYCAGCCCAGGAGAGAGCTATATCTTTCTAAGTCAAATAACTGCAAGACAATACGCATTTTTAAAATAAAAAACACACTGCATGTTCAACAATCTTTTCTGCAGTTGCAAGTGAATGAAATATCCTTCTGCATTTGCGTGAATGAAATATCCTTCTAAAATGTTTAAAATCTAATCAAATTGTCAATAAGCCCTATCCTGGGTCAACGGGGGCTAGGTTCGTATGTCATTTAAGTAATAAGATAACTTTCCATGTGCGCCCATTGATAGGTGTATTTTTATGTCTTTATAGAGGTATCTCTTACAACAATATAACCTGGTTCACAAAGCACATACCTTACATACACTGTCAAGTAAAGATTTTGTCAATTGCTCCTCAAAACAACACTTATTGCACAGCTGAGCAATGATCATATATGACGCACACTTGTACTCTGACAAACCAGATTTCAGTCCTTTGATGATGTAAGGCAAGAGTTTCCCGATGACCTCCTCGCCAACACGCTGCATGTTTTCCAATGCTCCTACTACAGTAGAGGCATAGAAAGTAAAAACAACTCTCAATGAAGACACAGGACATTCCATTTCTAAAGAACTAGGGACCATTTCACAAATTTCATGCAAAAAATTCAAGTCAGTGGCACATTTTTGGATGAGTGTTGACTTTGATAATGGGCTGCCTGTGTTTTGCAGAGGTCCAAGCCAGTGCCACTTGGAAGCGGGATTTTTTATCTCYAAGAGTTGTACAACTCTAGCGAACAAGTTCGTCTCGTGGTAGGGAAGAGCACAGTASACRAGAGCGTCTTGATTMATGATATGAATCCTGAATCGACGTATCAACCATTCCAGAGTCTTGTGGGCCGGTTTGAGAAGAAAATATGGAGACAAATATCTCAAAAATTGTGCTATCTGTTTATCTAGCCGATCATTAAACTCTTTCGTCTCCACCGATCGCTCTAACTTCTTTGATACATCACTGAAAATCGACTCGTTGAATGATGCAAATCCAGGCTCGATAAGAATGAGCTCTTGCAGCCCATTTGTAGCCAAAGAAAATATCGTTTCATTGTCGATATTGCTCGCTTCTTTTCCATCAAACAATAAAGAAGCCTTTAAAGTTTGTTTCTTCGTCGAAGGAGCGACCAAATTGCTAGGAATTTGAAGTTGCTGAAGTTGCTTTGCTAAAGAAGACATTTTGGATCCCGCACGTGGAGAGAATGACCCGCATGGCGTGGTTACTTAGGTATACTACACAGGGATCCCGGAATGGACAGGAGGCCCGTCATAAAATAGCCCCCATCTTTAATATCTATGATTTTATTTTGTTTCGAGATATTTGTTTAAATAAGTCTGTTATGCAAAATTTACATCGTAAAAAATGTCGACTGAAATTGAATAGTTCATTGTTATGGCTTTTGACATGCACTTTTTCAAATACTGTAATATCATACCAAAACAGCGTAGGGTAAAATACTCGACCAAACTTTGTGAATTTCTTATTTACAGTACGTTCTATTACTTTCATTCTATATAGAAGTCTTGCACATATCGAGCAAAACGACCCAGCAATTGAGTAGAGATTGTCGTACGACTTCCATATATGGATGTCCATATGCATGTCTCTAATGTACCTATAGAAGGCTCTCATGTCCCTATAGATGGTCCATTAATTATATATTCAATGTTATGTACATATGCGTGGTTATTCATTATTTTTTTAATTCACGCATTATGGTAATATAATAAATCGGCATGTATAAGGTACTATTCTATATTTACACCATATATTAATAATTATATAAAAATTCTAAAAATTACAATATAGAAAAAAGTTAAAAAAAATTACTAAGATATTAAATTTTACAATAATAATGATAAATATTAAAATTTATAAATATGACTATGCATTAATTAATTAGTAAAAAGAATGAAACTTACATTAAATAATTTACTAAAGAAACGTCCTATTATTTACAAAAAAAACTAATTCAAATATCTGCAGAGTTTTTTACATTTAATTTAAAATCGAATAAAAAGTCATTATTCTTGTAAAAGGGGATTCGTGAACTGAACGTATACATAAAATAATAGATTTGATGATCTCAAAGGATAACTTTGTTCTTATGTAAGTTATTGTTTCTGCATACGTGTTATTAGTTTTCTTAGCGAGTTTTTCTGCTAGTGCCTTTAAGAACATATTGCATTCTGATCCCGTTCCACCGTTGGTTCCAAAGATGAGGGGTGTGAAAGTTCCCATATCGACATCTTGGATTCTCTCTGCATATTTTCGTTTCTTTTCTTGCTCTTGAAAGATCGTATTGGTGGTCTTGTTCTGGTTGGTTTTGGAGTTGAGTTTTGCGTGGTTATTCATGCATGCCGTTGCATAAATATCACAAAAATTCAGGTTCACTCAAGCGAATTGTTTAGGGAAAATATCGGGTTAGGCCATGCATAGCGTTGGTTCGAATCTTAGTACTCGTTCTTCAAAAATTTCCTTTCGGTTTAAGTTTAGGTCTTAGAAATTTTCTAAGTTCTTCTCCACGTAATTGCGCCTTCTATGTGCACATCAGCGCCGTACATGCACAACCATGCATATATGGAAAATGGTGGGAACTAGCGGTAAACTAGTGTGAGCTGCGTCGATGTTTCTAAAGAAACAGTTGTGTAAAGAAGATAAGTTTAACACCGTAAAAAAGTATGGGAAATAACTTCCTGACGTTTCGGATGTTAATCCTTCGTCGGAGTAAAGAGAGAGAAATAGGTATAGTGTGAGTTTATATAGTAAGAGTAGCAAAGAGAATAGACCAATAGGAGCAAGGTAGGCATGGTAACGAGAAATAAACAAAAAAGCAAAGGAAGTGTTAGACAAAAGAACAATAAAGGTGCTAAAAAGGAAACAAAAGAATTAAAACTTATCTGAAAACAAAACAGCTCACACTAGTTTACCGCTAGTTCCCGCCACGTTCATTCAACCCATGGGGATTATAAGTGCCCAATTGGTAAATGAGCCGTATTTCTTTGGTTTTACGACAATCATTATTGCCGCTAATCAAAGACAAACTAAAAACAATGAAGTTAGAAATAGAATGGTTGGGTAAGTTAAAATGGCGGGAAACAGGCTTATCAAGATCATTCTTACGAATACTACGAAGATGTTCACAGATACGATCGCCAAGACGACGGCCAGTCTCACCGACATACAACAAATTACAAAGCGAACATTTAATGCAATAGACAACATTAGAGGTGGTACAATCAAAGTGATCAGTGATGTTGAATGACGAGTTAGGACCAACAGACCCAACAATGGAAGTGTGCGAGACAATTTACAGGCAAGTGTTACAGCGCTTACGTGAGCAACGAAAAGTGCCAGGATCATATATGGAAGTCGTACGACAAACCCTTCTCTAGCAATTACAGCGGAAATCGTTGCATCGCGACCTCTTTGTTTTGAAGTTTGTTTGCATTTTGTTCTTTCTTACAATCTGAGGGGCGGAGCTTAAGAAATCTTGCCTACATTTGAATACCCGATTTGCGAATTTCGCCTCAGTAGTGCGTAAAGCTCAGTAAATTGTCTTTTCACGAATGACTGAGCTTTATGCACGCCTTGATTCCTTTGTGTGTGACTACTGAGGCAAAATTCTCAAGTCGGCTATTGCTTTTCGCCTGAGTGTATGATCCTCTCGTGTATTCTGCAGCAACTTTTTTGTTTAAATGTCTTGCTACAGTGCTTGCACTTGAATGGCTTTTCTCCTGAGTCTATCTTATCATGTGTTCTGCAGCTACTGTTTTGTGTAAATGTCTTGCTAGTGCTTGCACTTGAATGGCTTTTATCCTGAGTGTATGATCCTTCCATGCCTTCTGTAGTTACCAAATGTCTTGCTGCAATAACTCTGAATGGCTTTTCTCTCAAGTGTATCCTTTCATGCATTCTGCAGCTACCAAGGTGTGTAAATGCCTTGCTACAATGTTTACACTTGAATGGCTTTTCTCCTGAGTGTATCCTCTCATGTGTTCTGCAGCTACTGTTTTGTGTAAATGTCTTGCTAGTGCTTGCACTTGAATGGCTTTTCTCATGAGTGTATGATCCTATTATACCTTCTGCAGGTACCAAATGTCTTTCTACAATGCTGAATGGATTTTCTGCCAAGTGTTTCTTCCTCTCATGTCTTGTGCAATGACCTCTTTGTGTAAAAGCCTTGCTACAATGTTTACACTTGAAAGGCTTTTCTCCTGAGTGTATTCTCTCATGTCTCGTGCGTTGATAGTTATGTGTAAATGCCTTGTTACAGTGCGTGCACTTGAATGTCTTCTCTCCCCAGTGTGCCTTCTCGTGTTCTCTGCAATCACTCTTTTGTGTAAATGTCTTGCTACAATGCTTACACTTGAACGGCTTTTCCCCTGAGTGCGTCAACACTTGATCATATTCATCAATCTTGTCCGTCTTCCTTWCTTCACCTTCAYYGTCTGTACTTCTAGTATTTGGTAATGTCAGATTATGACTGATAACTCTACCTTGAGACCTAAAATGATACTTYARGGGYGKCTTGGCCTTGTTCGTATTTTCTGTGGTTGAACGAGATATCTTTGTTAGTTGTAATTCTTCACTTTCATCTAGTACCACTGAGATTTCAACATTTGAACCACCATTATAAGAATAAAAACTGTCTTTATCAATAATATCMCTTTCAGAAACTACAGCTGCAAGTTTGGATTTTTCTACAATACTTGTTCCATCTTGACACAGTTGTAGTGTTGTTGTTGTATTGTTGGTGTCTTTGATAACATGTTCACTTTCAGTCTGTGTAAGAATGTTATTGTGGGCCTCAATGTCTTCCACTGATTCTTGATGACATAGAAAAGGTTTATCCACATAYATAGAGGTACATCCATAGGTGCAGCCAGTGTCATCAGTCTGTGTCATTATGTTCTTCCTGTTGTTGACAATGTCACATTCAACGGCTTGTCCTAGGCCCCATTTCTATGGACAAAAACAAATCACAAAATTTTGTATAGTTTTGAACTTGTTCTTTTATGTTGATACTTCATGATTCTTACATACAAATTATATAGAATACATTAATTACTATGAACTGTCCACAAATTTATATAAAATRAAAGACAAAAGACAAAGTAGTCTTTCAAAAGAACATGCTTAGCTCCTAAAGGTTAATAGTCAAAGAGTAAAATAATATACAAATTTAAAACAAAACTCTGAAGATAACAACTAGAATTATGTATACTAACAAAAGACCTACTTTTTTTGTTAAAACAGTATTGCCTAGGTTAAAATGTTTGACTATTTGCATTGAGTATAGCCACAGGCAACCTATAATTAAACACATCTACATTGTAATTTTAACAAAAATGTAAACACTCCTACTTACAGAAACACTGTCATAGAAAATCGAACATTTGAATTTACATAACAAGCTGCAAGCTCGTTTTTATTGCGATCAGCTTGAGACCAGTGTTGCCATAGTAAAGCTACTTGTGGTTGCAATGTATGCTTAAGAAAGTGTGAATCCCGCAGAGGGGATGACAACTTTTTAGAGGTCATGAGTTAGTGGACGGGTTCTAAAAGTTCATTTACTGCAAACCTCAAGCACTCCACGTAAAAAGTTACTTTTGACATCGTGAACAGAGCTTGTTTATTAGAATGTTTTTGAGCTTGATCATGAAAATCGGAAATGTAAATGCTTAGGTGTTTATAACTCGAGGTCAAATCATGTCATTYGGTCATGTGACTTATCAATGCTCAAGCCAACGTTTTAAACAATCGGTGCGTTATAAAAGTTTTGCTACTAGATAGTACTTCGCATAAAAAGTAGTTTTAGACATCATGCTCAGCGTTTGTGAAAAGAATATATATAGTGTATTTTCGAGCTYGATCATGAAGACAAGAAATGTGATAGCTCTTAGTGTTTGCAACTCAAGGTCAAGCTTCATCATCAATTAACGATTATCAATACGCAAAACACGAATGTTTAAAAAATAATGTTACTGTAAATCTGAACCTGCATTTCTCTACTGTTTCTTTTTATCATTGTAACTGCTATCTAAGTCTAACTTAAGTAGTTCTAAGCACAACTATGTTGAGGCAGGGAATTTTGCAAATTTTCAAACGAAATGAAAACTGACAGATCAAGACTCCATATGATTATTTTGATTTTTGATATTAATGTTATAAATATTGCTATTTAAAACAAAATGAATTGAAAAAACAATGTATCAGGAACACTTATAATATATTCGATACTTGGGCACACCAGTCATAAAACTGTGATAAGTATAACACCTTGCCCATTCTTAATCCGCCACAAATATGCAGATCGAGAGGATTTCAATTCCCCTCATCGCAATAAAAACGAGCTTGCGGCTTGTTATGAAAAAAGAATAAATCAAAACAAGACAAAAGAAAGCATTCAGCCTCAGTGATCTTCCATCAGCTGTGCTTAGCTTTTAGCTATATATCACTGACAAAAGCAACTCCTTCCCCTTATAAAAAGCTTGATCCGCCCCTGTGATGTAAGGTGTTATCATGCTATGATAAGTTAGACTTATCGGTGTAAGCCAGTTTCACGCTTCTTTGGTGTTCTGTTCGACTTGTGTGTAACAACCTACCTGTTTCACTAATGTAGACTGTAGGACAGTTAGCACATGGGATTTTAAGCGTGGATTTCACTACCGCATAAGCATAGGCATAAGAACAAAGCACGAGAGTCATATGCGCCAGTGAGAACGGGCTCAAAATAAGCATAAGCATGAGCACAAGAAAAACGAGCAAGGCTTGATCTTCTTGTGCTTATCTCATGCTTATATGCTTATCTCATGCTTATGCTCAGTGAGAATGGGACTGCATAGGCATAAGCATAGCCTGGTACCGAAATAGTACGCTTGTACGCATGCTCAATGTCTTATGCTTAGGTCCAGCCCGTTCTCACTGGCGCATATGATTCTCATGCTTGTGCTTATGCTATGCTTATRCGCTAGTGAAATCCACGCTTTATAAACTACTCCAGTTCTCTTTTTTTTTTGAAATTACATTGTTATCATGGTTATACCTCTAACCCACCCCACCCCTTCCCCTATTGTACCAAAATATATGTTGTAGTTCAGGTTCAATATGATTTTGAACCAGTTCAATTTCTTCTGAACTGGTTCAAGAAGTACAAGAAGTCTTGTACTGGAACAAAAATATATTGAACCTGAACTACAACATATATGAGAGGCCTCTTACCTTTAATGTAGGATTCCACTCTGGAAATCTATGCTCTGCTGTGAATTTATTAAAATAGAAGAGGATTTGTCCTGCTTTACATCGATATTCTAGCCAGTCATCCAGGCTGTCCATGATTTGGGGCATTTTCCTAAGTTGAATCATAACATTATTCTCAATAATGAAGGCACATGTACTGTATATTCAAACAAGATTAATCTGGTTAGCTGTGTGAGGCATCTGACAAGACAACCACTCCAGCAATAATACACAAATGTATACACAGAACACAAAGATCCAGACATTCATTGAGGTGTTGCGTGCACGTGTAGAATAAAATGTCGGTATTTACAATATTTTCATTACTGAATCTACACAATATTTTAAACAAACAATTCAATCAATAATTACCTGAGTTACAGTTAAATTCCACTACAAATCCACGCCAAAATTACAATAGTTTGGATAAATCTTGATCGACAAGAGCATTCGTGCAAAGAATCAGCACAGGCTTACCAGTCTCTGAGGAGTTACGGGAGATGGGCTACCTGTGGCGACAAACTTAACGGATTTTCACATGTAGTCAAAATATCGTTTCTAAACCGTATCTTTTCATTCTTGAAATATCAAAAAACTTCAATAAAGATGGTTCAATAGTTTATGAACATTTTTGGAGGGATTATTTTCGATTTTGATGCTGTTTTAGTGTGTTTTGGGAGGGTTAGATTTCGACCTTCTCCAGAGTAACCCTTTTCTCTTCACTCTGGAGAAGGTCGAAATCTAACCCTCCCAAAACACACTAAAACAGCATCAAAATCGAAAATAACCCCTCCAAAAATGTTCATAAACTATTGAACCATCTTTATTGAAGTTTTTTGATATTTCAAGAATGAAAAGATACGGTTTCGAAACGATATTTTGACTACATGTGAAAATCCGTTAAGTTTGTCGCCACAGGTAGCCCATCTCCCGTAACTCCTCAGAGACTGGTAAGCCTGTGGAATCAGCACCAAGTATTGTGGGATAGCACAGCCTCGTTTTCATGAATTTCCCGCCAAAAAACAACGAACAGTCGTTGAAAATGACTCTGTTTGTATGCCTGGGTAAACTAGTAGTCAGTGAATCAATAAAAACACCTCAAAATATACTTTTAGCTTACTTAAAAACGCACGAAAATGTACACATTGAACCAAATCAACAAAGCAATGCAAACCGGCCAATTTAAAATTATAATTATAAAGTAAATAAGCCCATAATCCTTTTTTCAGTAGATCACCTGATCGTCGGTTCAAGTGCAGCGAGATGGGGAATTATTTTTTTTCGAATTTATTTCGAAAAATGTTTTGTCGGAATATACTACAACTATTTATCATTTCTTCCTATAAACATGGACATGAGGAACCCATTACATCTCACTTCCTCTTCCCATGAGCTTGTGGAACGGCATTGATGAATTATCCGAATTGTGGCGTGGATTTGCAGTAGAATTTAACTGTAGTTCAGGTAATTATTGATTGAATTGTTTGTTTAAAATATTGTTTGGATTCAGTGATGAAAATATTGCCAGCACAGAAGTCCCCAAAAACTTTTTTTCCTCTAGTTTCATATGAAAAAAAATGACATATGACCCCATATGCATGACATATGACCCCAAAAAAATTCCCTTACCCCCCCCCCCCCCCCCCCCATCACTTTTTAATGGGTCGTCCATAGAGTATGACTGAGAAATTAATTTTTCCAGAAATTATTTCAAAGTGATCTTTCGTCGTAATAACCTCCTTTTCTATATAGCAATGCAATCTGATAACAATTTAATTTTCTCATGTTTTCTAAAAGTGCGTTTCATTGGTTTAGTGTAAAAAGAAAGTAGCCAATCAAATGTTTTTTTAGAAAATTCGTCGATTGGCGGGAAAAATGAAATCAGACGCGCGAGCGCAAAATCCAGCGAGTGCTCCGAGGCTCCGAGTTGAAAGATCTCTCTGTAAAGACAGAGACAGAGATGTGACTTTTAACAACGTTTTAAGTCTATGATTTGTTTGTGTTTTTATAAAACAGATACGAAATGCCTCGGTATTTGGCAGTGGATTATTTTTCGGAGGTAAGCAGCTTAATTAAGCTAAACTAGTATTGTGAGACTAAGTTATATAACTTAACACTGAATTGAAATGAGACGCAGATAAAAACCTTGTTCAACTGTTAATTAATCATGAACAAGCTTATGTTTATAAAATCTGCATTATTAAAAAATAAAAAGATGTTGCGTGGTCTCAGTATCATTTTCCATATATTGTTGTCCCCTTCGTGCTCCATATTAAATCATTCCAGGATCGTAGGCTGGGAGGTTCGAGGGTTCGGACGAAAAGCTTAAAAGGTCCGGTGTTTTTCATTTTTAATTGTTCCATTTTGAAATCTGATTCTTTTGTTATGAGCTGTTTTTAGCAGCCAGTTCTTACACACTATGCCGTGCGGTGCATTGAACTAATTTAGTTAAACATTTTATAATTTAGGTCCGCATTATGAAAAAAAACGAACACCTCTATTTGTAAGGCAGGCTACGAGCCTGCATTTCTGAATTTAAAAAAATTCTATCACAATTTTAGGCTCTGGAGGTACGTCAGAATATATTGTTTCGCATGCTTTTGGCGGTTCCTCATCATCTCGAGTGCATTGATAATTATGTACACAAGGGAAAGAAAGATGACAGAACATATAATATACCCTGGCAAAGAGGTAAGTTATTGCTTTAGTTATATTTCATTCAGGTTCAATTTCTTCTTTTATTCATCTGTGTATCATAATAATTTCTATATCTTTATTTTAAGGGGTTGGCTAGCCTACCTAACCAAACCCCCCTCCCCCCTCCCTTGAGATCCGCCATCGTCTTTGCACAACTTTAAAGTTTATATGTTTGATTGTCTACATTTGTCTATAGAATTCCCAGAGAAGCTTGTACATAGGACGCCACAAGATGATTTATGTCAAATAACATCGCAGCTTGCTAAACTAGAACGGTTTACTTTGTCACCGTTACATGATGAATTCATCCCCAGCTCTAATCCTGACTCTCCTCCAATCAACTTTGATGTATGGAGTGATTTGGAAGTCGAGGTTGTTAACTATCTAGTGGAGTCTTTACAACCTAATGATGTAGAGGAATTCAATGAAGAGACTTTTTCCAGTCAAGGTAGTCTTGATTTAGATATTCTAGTGTAATATAGCGCAAGTTGAGTACAAAGATAAATTTACGAAAAGCAGATGATATGAAGATTACAGCAATAATGCTCAATCATGATCATGATTATGTCACCATCCGAGTATCCTTTCAAGGTGGCCTGGGTAGAGGGTAATGGTGAAAACTGCTCTACCCTTTTTATAAAACAGGGATTGCAAAACTGATAGATATTGAGACAATTGCACGTTTTTTAGCCAATCAGCACAAATCAGCTTTGATTTTAAAGATGATTATTATTCCCTATTAATGTGAAAACAATTATAATAAATGATGATAATGATATCAATATTGAAATCTGATCATATGCAAATATTATTATTTACTATCAAAGTAAAATGTCATAATTTACCAGACGATAAACTGCTAGAAGAACACACGTCACAGGATTTCCTGCATTGCAAGAATCAGATACCCAGTGTATCTTCACTTTGTTCCAGGCTTAGACCCAAAGCTGTCCAAGATCCTTTTGTCGACGACAAAGGAGTACCGCTTTCTGAGGACAATGTGATTTATGGGTAGGTCCATG